GGCTCTAAACTATAATTTGTTTAACTGCTATATAACTCCTGCCCTATTTGATGAATTTAAATTTTAAAATAGCATTTTATCAATAAAAACAAGTACAGTACTTATTTAATCTGAAAACTGTCCTTCGTATATGCTATTTTACTTTATTTCGCAATTGACTGTTGCAAAAATAAAAATCTTAATTAATTTACTTATACATATTTTTATTTAAGGAAAGAATAAAAGCATTTTTCTAATAATTTTTTCCTAGTTTATTTATTATACAATATTATGTTTATTTACATATAATTTAAATTAATTAACCTTCAATATCTTCAATAATTTGTTGAATAAATTCCATGAAAATGAATGAGCTAAAAGTTAAATACTTATACAATTATGTTTCAAATTTTTTAAAAATGAATTTAATATTGGATCGAATAATTTAAATTATATATTTCTACTTGAACAACTACAAACAAATATACTTGTCACCTTAAATAAGAAATACTTTCAACATTTTTAAAGTTTTAAGCATACAAATTTAATAAATTGGTTTAAATTAATCATTAAAATAAATAGACCTTAAAAATTATTTCCTGTCGAAATTTTATTACGCTAAAATATGCTATGACGTAATATAAATAATAATAGAAAGAGATTGAAAGTAGAAATAAACGAAAGTAGAAGTGGACGATCGTCATTGGTCCTCGGATTGACGTAATCGTTTCGTTTTCTTTTAAATTCTGTGTTTCGTAAATAGTACAGTTTAAACTTCAGCCAATAAGACGAAGAAAAAAATACAAAAAAACAACCAATGATGTTAAACTACGTCTCACCTTATCTCAACAGCCAATGGCGTAATAACAAACAATCACATGATGCAATCGTGTTGTTGTAAAACGTGTTTTTTGCGAAGAATGAATTAGTATGTTGACCTTAGTTCTTTGTGTGTTGTTAGATGAATAATACATTTTATATTGCGTCGAACTTTAACGATTTGATAAATCCTAATACAATAGTCAGTCAGGTAATTTTAATATTATTTTTATTGTGTAATTAATTTATGTATTTGAAATTATACATTATGTTGATAAAGTTGTTATAATTCATTATATAATGTTTGATAATAAGTAATATGAATGTAATAATTACACTGATTTTATAACAGATTCAGACTTTAATTTGACCTTGCATCAAATTTAGAAAATATCAAAAGTTTGCCAACATCTTATAACCTGTACCTTAGCTGCTGGATGTTTTGAAGTATAGAAACTATTTAAAACTGTGTGATAATTTAAGTGTATATACTTAACCATATTTATCTGTCTAATTTTAATTATAAAATTCCTAATTTAGAAATTGATTTAAAATAAGACGATAAAAATATTTATGCTTGAGAAGTTATTTGTGCTATTTGTACACAAAAAATTTTCTTAATTGCTAATATTGCAAAGAAATTTTTTGAGATTATTTTCTATCTTTTATTAATTTGAATTTGGAACAGATTTAAAAAGTGCAATGTAATAAATTGTGGAAATTTAAAAGTTTTATTACCTTTGATTTTAATTTACTAAAAATGCATTTAAATACAGTATTTTGTTAAATTAAATTATATATGCATTATCAAACATTATACTAATATATTATTGCTAGGAATGTTTTACCTTAATTTTAACATAATTTTTTTTTTTGCTAAATGTTTTTTACTTTCAGTAAGGTTATTTTTATATGTTATGTTTTATGGATATTTCTAGTAGGATTTATATCTAAAAGATGAAATTTTATATATTGCAAAATAAAAATGCATTTTTGCAATATACAAAGTCATTTTTTAAAAAAAATAAAGCCAAGTGACAACTTTAATAAAATATAGAGATAAAAATATCGTATTTCTGTTTATATTTGTTCATATATCTCAAGAAAGCTTTATAATAATTTTAGGATTTAGCAAAAATATTGAAAATAAAAATATCATGGATTTAAATAAATTTTGTTATTAAACTTGTAAATACTTTATTAGAAACAAATAATACCAGACAGATATAAAATTAAATTTTTTAAATCTATATATATTATACTGTAGTGCAGTTTAATAAAAAACATGCATCAAATTCTATTTTAAATGTGTAAAGTTATAGTGGAAAATATTAACATGGATTTAGATATTAAATTTACAAGAACCAGTGGTGCACTTAAGATTTGATCTCAGGAGCCAAATTGAACAGATAAAAATTTTTTAATGCAAAATCAATAAAATTCCCACCTTATGTAGAAATAAAACACAACACAATATAAATAAAAAATGAATTTTAGTTAGGAACATATTTTTGGAAAATTTACTAGTGTTTCTTTTCTGTTTACTTTAGGGGGTGCCAAGGCCATTGGCCCAACCCCTGGGTGTGCCACTGACAAGAACAGTTTAATTTAACACAACATACACAAAACAAACATCATAACTGGACTTCTAATAAAAAGATTCAACCAGAGACAATATACAAAAACATCCACATGTCAAACATTACACAAATATCAATAAAATGATATATCACTGGCAAAATTAAATAATGTATAATATTCAATAACTTTATTAAATTTATATATTACTTTTTTAATCAACTGTTTAAATATATTACTAAAATATATAAGTACAAATCATAATCAACAAAACTATTTTTTTTTTTTTTATTTCAATGACAAATGAATAGTTAGATGTTGAGAATTTTCTGTACTTTTATTTCTAACTTTATTTTCAATTTAATGCCTTTTCTAATAATATTGTGAGGATGATAATTCTTAAACATAAACCAACGTTATTTTTTAAAACAATAGTTTTATAAATAAAAATTGTAAGAAAGAATGAAATAAACTTTAAGGTTAAAATAAAAGTAAAATACAGATATGAATATTTCCTTTGTTGTTGGGATCACTGACTATTTCAATTAGATAATTTTTGAAAATTCTGTAATCTGGCATCTATAGATGTGTAGGAACTCTACCAGTAATTCAAACCAGGATCCAAAATGTAGGATTTAATTATATTTATTTTGATTGAATACATGCATTAATAGATGCATTTTGGGCTGACATACATTTTACAGCCCTTCATCAGTAATTTGTATTGAATCAACCATCTTTTTAAATATGAAAGTACCGTACATGAACATAACATGGAATAAGGTCTGTAAAGAAATTATACGTACACTTGAAATTTGTATATAACTTCACACAATGTTTATTTATAACAATTTAACAATTAGTAAGCTCATTATCAGAGCCGGCCCTACCATAGGGTGAACAGAGCAGCCACTCCAGGTGCTAAGTCCTCGGGGGTGCCTCAGTGGTAAAGAAAATTAAAGGGTATAAATTAAGGGCAACCAAGGGGGGGCGCCATGATAGGATCTCGCTCCATCCTAAAACTTGCCTCGGGCTGGCACTGGAAACAAGCTCTAAGTGAGAGAAGGAAAAGAAGAGTTTTCCATCTTGCCACCTGACAAGGAATGCCTACATATATCATTGCTTCTAGTTTATCGAAAATGGCTCATTCATCAGTAGCTAATGTTTTCAAAAATAATGATAATGTTGTCTATGTTAAACTCAAGACAAAACCTTAGCTTACAAGTGACCTCAAGAAAAACAGATTTGAGTGGGCAAAATTAGTAATGAGTTGAACTGGCAAATGGAAAAATGTGGTATTTACAGATGAAAAAAGTTTAATCTGGGTGGACTAGATGATGATAGATATTATTGGCATGATTTAAGAAAGCAACCAAAAGAATATTTTAGCAGACAATTGCTTTTAATGGCAAAGCAGATATTATCACAGTTAATGATAGAATGACTTCAGAAAATATCAAAATATATTGTTTGAACATCTTGTTTCATTTGGACTGCTGATTGGAGGAAATGAATGGATATTTCAGCAGGACAATGCTTCCTGTCATGTATGAAATCCACCAAGACTGGTTTAAAGAACAAAATAAATGAAATTGACTAGTGGTTAGTCAATTTCATTTATTTTGTTCTTTCCGCACAGTCCATACTTAAATCCCATGGAAAATGTGTTCTTGAATGGTCTATGCTAACAACAAACAATACACAACTGCTAATGAACTGACAGTTGCAATTAATAATTTTTCGAATAAAATAAACTTACATGAACTGTAACACTTGTCAGAAACAATCCCTAGGAAGATTTACAAGCTAATTCAAAACAAAGGAATTTATATCAATTATTACACTTTTATGTAAAAGGGCAAATTTTACTACTGTATGTATAATTATTTTACAGTAGATTTGGTTGCAATTTTTATATTCATCTCTCAGAAATGTGAATATTTTTATTTATGAATATGATGTATTTGTGAGTAATTATTTGTAATAATGAGCTTATTAATTGTTAAATTGGTATAAATAAATATTGTGTGAAATTATATATATTATATAAATTTCATATGTATGTATAATTTCTTTACAGACGTTATATTTCAACACCAATACATTAGGCAAGTAATAAGAACTGATACTTTAAAACTATAAATGTTTTATGTTATCATGATAGGTCATTGGTCTTTAGAGCAATGTAAAAATTATTTTTAAAGTGTAACAACTTTGTCATGCTTGTGTAATTTGTATTTAAGAAGATGGTTGATGCAATACAAATAACTGATGAGGTACTGTAAAATGTAAGTCAGCATGAAATGAATCTATTAATGTATGTAATCAACCAAAAATAAATATAATTAAATCCTACATTTTGGATCATTGAATTACCAGTAGAGTTCTATACAGTTTCAATTAATGATCTTAGTCCAAGAGATACTTTAATTTCATTTAATTGTATATCATTTTTATTATCATCATAGAATATATGCAAATATAACCTTTAAAGTGTTTGTACACTGTATAACATTCTAATGTTTGTGTCCCTGAAAACATTAAGAAATAAAAAATTTACTTTACAATAAAATGAAATTAATATGTTTTTGCATCTGTAATAAGAATAAAAAAATAATAGCATAATGAAAGGTTATTTATAGCAATATATCATGTTAAACAATTTTAGAAACTGAATGCCACTTTTTCCTACTATAAAATATTTACAATTGTTTTATATACATTTCCATTTTCTGCTCAGAAAACTCGAATTAACATTAAAAAATTAGAAATATTTAGTTATATGCACAACCACAACATTGAAGCTGACTTTTAATCTATCAAAGAATTTAATTTGCTATGTTTAAATAAAATTGAAGACTGTAGCATTGGCATATTTAAATAAATTTATATTTGCAACACTTTTAATCATATCTTAAACAGTATGAATATTCAATTTTATAATAAATAATTGTAATTCTAGTTATAATTATATAACAATATTTCTTTAATTTTTAAAAACTCTTTATCAAATAATTTAAAATTTAATTTAAATGTTTGATTATAGTATATTATTAAAATGACAATAGTAACTCTGAAATGATACAAACAAAATAATTTATTATATTATATGAATTAAATTTTTTATATTGTTATATTTATAAAATTTAAGTAGAAATTATATTAAATTTTTTAATTTTAATAGAGAAAGAAAAGAAGAAGAAAGGAAATAGCAGCAGTAAAACAAATCAAATTTCTTCAGATCTTTCAAACTTTAAAATTAAAAGTAATTGTTCTGAACATAAACAGATCAAATCTAGAACAGATACTAATGAAACACCAGTAAAATTTGATAGTAATATTGAATTTCCAACTCTGCCTTCCATTTCCAATAAAACTGATTCTGTAGATGAAAATAAACCTTTGTCATACAATTCGTCTTATTCTTCGGTCTTAAAATTTGAATCTAAGACAGTATTAAAATTAGATAAAACTAGTAATAATAAATTTCCTAATAAAAGTATTCATGTATCAGACAATTGTAAAAATATTGAAAAATCTGATGAAATTTTGCATAATGCAGATAAAAAACATGAAAAAATGAAAAATAGGAATTTTTCAAGAACTAAAAATGTATCAAAAAATAAGGAACATTTTCAACAGGGTAAAAATCAAATTGATTTCCATCAGAGAGACAACATTCAGATATCAGAACCTAATAAAGTTTTACAAAAGAATAGTCCATCCAAAGATCTGTCAAAAAAATCTAATACACCCAAAGAAGAAAAAGAAGTATTACAAGTGAATGCTCAGTCTGTAGAAAATAAAGGAAAAGAAACATTAGAAAAACCTGAGAAAACTAAGAAGAAAAGAAGAAATAAGAAAAAGAAGAAAACTGATGGTGGAAAAGTTTCACTTTTAAGTCCAGAAATGTTTGCTGCTATCACAAAGCAGTTTGTTAAATCATCCGAGTACAAATACAACAATTTTAATTTATCCGACTCAGAAGAGTTTCCAGATCTTGGTTCAACTTCTTCAAAAAATAATGAATTATCAAATACGCACAATGATACAAAAGATAAAAGTTTGTCATCTAAATCAGTAATTAAAAATCAGGCTATTACTCCTGAAATTGTTCCCGATTCTACTCATATCAGTTCAGTAGATTCTTGGAAATATTCAACATTCAGCAGTATTTTAAAGATGAATAATCCGGTAAATATTATTCAAAACTTTAGATAAGTAACTATTATGATTTATATAATTAGAATTTTGAATTTGTAAAGCAACTAAACATTTATGTTTGATATAAAATTGAAAAATTTATGAATAAAATTTAAATTTTCATATAACTTTTTTACATTTAAAAAAGTGATCTATTACTGATTATTTGCTTAATTTTTATAAGTATAATTACATTTACAATACTCATTGGTACATAGCCAGCTAACAGTGTGAATAAGGAAGAAATCCACAAAGAAAAATTAGAAGATAATTCAATTATACAAAAGGAAGAGCCATCATCAAGTAAAAGTAAATTGGTTAAAATTTATCATTAACAGAAAAATCATATAATTTTTAGTATTTGTAGTGTTTGTTTTTAAATATTTAAATATAAATATGTTTTAATTAAAAGTTTTAAGATCTATTTTATTTGATTAATTCAGGTAAAAAAGCTTCAAAGAAGAAGAAAAAGAATAAGGAAAATGCAAATAGTACAAAATCTGTTAAACAGGAAAAAGTTAATCCTTCTATTGAACTTTCCNCGTTTCTGGAACGTTTACAATCGTTCTATAATCGAACCAATATTCAAATTTTATGTTCGAATTTAATTCGAACAAATTCGAACAAAACTTTCGAAATAGAAAGCCACTTTCAACCACTTTCAGCCTCATATCTCCCACACCCTTATAGCTATCGAGACGCAACCATCCCTATGCACGAATGGAGACTTGGGGCTACCACCACATACAAACAGCATTTACGTGCAATGTGTAGTTTTTGCAGAAAAGTGAAATATACGTACATACACGTCCATTTATATATATATATAGATATAGATAATACTAATATATTATAAAAATAGCAGATTGTCGTTGGCAATGGCAAAAGAGTGAAAATATCATTCGCACTTGTTCGTCTCATGTAACTGCCGAATGGAAAGTCTGTTGTTTGCAGCATCCGTTATTCGAGGCGTATGTTATACAAGGCACCACTGTATTATGAAAATAAATAGTCACTGGTTGAAATACTGGCTTAATATGTAAACAAACCACTTCACAAACATAAAGAACCAGCTAAAACAACAAATTTTACTATAAACAAAGGTTTTCTTCCACATACAATAGACATCATCAGGTTCTACAGAAACAATGCACAACAGATCCATCCCAATTAGTGTAAGTAGAAAGAGTCAGACTCTATAAGGACTTCAACAGGGGGACAGTCATTAACTATAAAGAAATTGACCCATTTCATAAGTCTGGAGTGTACTATTTGAGCTTGCCTGACTCTCTATAGAAGTATCTTTTTGTACTAGACATGTGCAAGTTTTAAAGTGCTTGAGCTTTGATTTCAAAAAATGTTCTGTTCTAATTATTAATTTGTTGTTCCATTCTGTATTCTTTCTGTAGAACCTGATGATGTCCATTATATACGAAAGAAAACATTTGTTTATAGTAAAATGTGTTGTTTATTGCTAGTTCTCAGTGTTTGTTTGAAAATAAATAGTATGTATTCATTATTCATGTATGATTTTATATTTAATGATAGTTGTGCAATTACAATTAATGACACATTAATTAGGTATTACATAAATGCATGGAAACTTATAGTTTGTACTTGCCATTTATGAAATGATCAAATTTGTTGTCAGCAATGGATAATATTTGAACTGATTATTCGTCAGAACTTAATTGAGAATTTTTAAATTAACAGAAAAAATCTTTTACTAGTTGTCTGTACTAAATTTGCCTGTGTTGGCATGGGTTTCATTTTTATAGATAATTTTCAAATTTTATTGTTTGAAATATATTTTGATGTGTTTATTAGTGTAGTGATTTAAACAATTTTTTGTCATTTGTAAATTTTTATACTCAATTTCAATAATACAATCAGAAATTCTTTCATCTTTAGTTTTTGTATGACAGTTGTGGCATTTCAAAATATTTTTTCTAACAGTGCAATGTAATAAATTTTGCATAAAATTGTTATTTAATGACAAGGATGATAAATTTGTACCATTGAAGAAGTTAAATTAATTGTTAGCAGTTGGGTTGTAACATAGTTGACATGATTTACTGACAAGAAAAACATCACTACATGCAAGTCATGTAATACAGTTGTCCCTTGATAATCCGACAGGTATGGGACCAAAGGTGTGTCAGATTACCAAAAGTGTCCAGATTACCGAAAATAATTACATATTTCGCATTGTTTTGCTAGCAGTAACTTACAATATTCTCTACTCCAACTGTTCGAACAGAACTGCTCACATAAAANTTATCAAAACACCAAATTTAGATATTGGAGATCAGCAATATAAATGTGACTTGAATTGGACAGTAAAAAAATTAAAAAGTTATCTTTCTAATGTATATCCAACAAAGCCAGTAAGTACTACTAAATTTAAATTGAAAAAGATTTAATATTATAATTTTCTATATAATTGAGATTAATATTTCAATTTAAATTATTTTTTATTATATTAAGTAAAATAATACTCAACATTACAACATACATAATTATTTATTTCTTATACCATACAGATTTCTATTCTGTTGTGGCTTGTAGATTTCTTCTCAAACTGCACTTACTTAAAAATAACCACCCTTTACTAACTATGAACGTATCAGCATAACAAAAAAGCACGGACAGACATTAGTAGAAGCCAGTTATATCATCTATTTCTTTATTATTATTAATTTGTATTTTTATTTTTGTGTTAGTGTATGCATATATTTGTACATTATCAATCCGCAGTTTATAATTATTTTTGGACTTGCGCAATAAGTGCTGAGAAAGCATTTAAAATTAATGTTTTATGACAAATGAAACCGATTATAGATCAAAAATTGTTTGTTCGATCCTGATGAAGGTCAATTAATTTGATCAAAAATGTTAGATTATATTAATAAAATAGACTGCATGTTAAAGATTAGTAAAGGATGGTTTGTAGATTTTTCCAACATAAAATATTATCATACATGAGTCCAGGATTATTTTCATTTGAAAAAATAAAGATAACAAAGACAATGTTTAAGTCTTTTAAATCCTTTTTCACTCCAAGAACTAAATAGAAGGCAACTTGAAGCAAAAAACTTCATAAAAATGACTGATAAACCCTATTAAAAATTACACATTAAAAATGATCTTGACATTGACCTTTCATTGTAGGATCTGATGTGTACAAACATTAAAATGATGTTCAAATTTTCACAACAGCATCCACATCATATAATTGCACTTATTAACTGATGCTAACTCTTCCATAGCTACAACTCTGGTTTTATGTTTAATTTATAATGAAACAACTTTATTTTATAAGGAGTTTAACATATTGCTCTGTTGATTATTTCAATAAAAAAGTACTGATTTTTCCATGTCACTTGAAATGGCCTGTCTTCTTTGGAAAGATTTCTTTCTCTCAATGAAATTCAGAAGTCAGTCATCACTTCATGTAATAACAACTGAAGTTAACAGTAAATATATTTAAAGTTAATCATACTTTGATTTCTCACTGAAATAGTACCACTGGTTGTTTCAACTCAAAATAGAAAAATTATGAACATTTTGGCAAAAAATTCAGAAAAAATTGTCCAACTTCCTAAGAAGTCAGCAATTTTGAGATCCTTTTTTTCTGCATTGCATTAAAAATTTTACAGTAAAAAATGACTAACTTCTTATAGAAGCTGGAGAAAAAGCAACAAAAACTGTTAAAAAGTTGTTAATAGTATTAATAATCTAAATAATACCCAGCAGAGAGAAATAATTACTAATTGATCACTAATCATCTTATGACTGCTGAGAATTGTTTATTTAAAGATGCACAAAAGTTTTCAGCCTAATTTATAGCCCATCTTCAGGTAAGACTGGAACAGTGAATTATTGACCATACCATCATGATGATGATCTATTTGGAATTCAGTGTTCTAAACACTTCTCACCTGAAGATGGTCTGTAAATTAGACTGAAAATGTTCATGCATCTTTTTAAATTAACAGTTCTCAGCAGTCATAAGTTGATTAGTAATCAATTAGAACTTTATTAAGTTGATTTTGTTTTAATATTGTTTGAAACTATAACTGCTGTCATAATGAATATTATTTCAAATATGGCTACAGGCTACACATTGTTATTATTTTTTTTTTTTTGGTCAGCATATGGTCCACAGGCTGTGGATTGGTACCCTAATCTAACCTAGTTTTTTTAATGGAATTCTTTCTATTCAAGGATCATTATCTGTACTAAATATCAAATCAAAATTGAGTTTAAAATTTATGGTTTAAAAACAAGAAATATTAATTTAATAAAAATGTTTAATTATTGATTTTTTATGAAAATATTTTTGGTTGAATTTATATTTAACAATTATTTATTCTTTTATATACTATATATATATCACACTTTATTGACCATCTCTCAGAAAGTCATGTTCGAGAAATGAAATGTACTAAGTTTCTACAAACTATTCATTTTAAATGTAAAAATTTCTTCAAGTTTCTATATACAAGGAGTCCGAAATATCTGGAATCATAGAGCATTTTATTTTCAAACTGTTTCGCAGCACGTTGCACATATTCTTTGAAAATATTTTCCTTCAAATAGTTTTTTTTGTGTTCAACAGAAAACATGAATATCAACATCCTTTACTATTATCTTTTAAATATTCAACATGCTTTGTTGAATACAAAGAAACATGGTGTTTGGAGGTTGAAGAAAGAGAATGTATTATTTGAAAATAAATTTTTCCAATGATTCCAGTTTTTAGACACTATGTAATAATTTTTTTCCATATTTGCTCCTTCAACATCAATATATATGTAAACATTTGATAATAAATTCCTTCATTTTTTTTTTTAATGGATTAGCTGTTTGATGTTTCTTAACCATGTTTTAGTGTTCAAAAAATTATTTAAAAATTTTTTAAAAATATTTGATTGAATGAAGAATACTTTTTAAGTAAGGGAAGTAATTTGATTAGGTAACTTTTTAATATTTCTAAATTTTTATTTTAATATTCTGTAGATTCAGTCCATATAAATAAATCTTAAATAAAGCTTCAACTTGAAAATAAGCAAAATGATGGATTTTTTAAATAACTTTATCTAGACTTAATTTATTATATACATGGATTCATTTTCTAATTATTATATAATTATTTATCAAATTTCAGACTGTTGAAAGTCAAAGATTAATATATTTTGGACAGGTGTTATCAGATAATGTAACATTAAAGGATGTTTTCATAGTAAGTATAATTAGTACTTTTTATATTTTATGTAAAATATTTATTAATTTAATTGTTTGCCTTTTAGAACAAATGGAAAGTTCAGACAATACATATGATGTGTCCTCCAAAAAAAATTCCTTCCAAAGAAACTTCAGTTTTAAAAACTCCTGTTTGTAAAACAGAAAATGTGAATTCAAATAATTCAAATGTGATATTTCAAAATATGCAAGAACAAATAAGGTATCATATACATTATTTTTTACTAGCCTATGTATAAAAATGTTTGTTTTATATGAATTGTTGGTAAATATATATAAAAACATCTTGAATCCCTAAGGATGTTAGACAATCCTTAATTTTCTGCTTTGTTGCACACTAACAATTTTGAATACTTTCTTTGCATATATTTTAAATTTTTGGCTCCAGCAAAAGCTCATATTTCTTTGTTGATGTCCTTAGCAATAAATTATATGTTATTGAATGATATAATTTTACATGCTTTTTTAATCAATACTTCTTAGATCTGTGTTATTTAATTGTAAACAAGATTTTACTTCATATTCGAAATGATCAACTATCATATCCGAAATGATCAAGTATAGTTGTGAGGTTAAAAATCCATGTAGTTAGAAATATTTGAACAAATGTTATTATATTATGAGATTAAATATTAGAGATTTTTTGAGTTTATAGTTGATATGTGTAAAATATATATAGTATTATTATGATCTTATAGTTTATATTGACTGATAGTTAAATAGGCTACAGTTCATAAAGATTGAGTAAAATTACAAGAATGCTGCAGATCATATTACTTCCTCCATAAGTCCATAAACATTTTTCAGAAATGTTGAAACAAGGAAAAATTTGTTTATTTATTTAATCAGTGGTATATTCTCCATTATCTGCTATTGCTTGTTTCTTAGTGGTATTTAAGAAAATATTTTAGTTTTAATTGAAAATATTTGAACATTACTCTGAAATCTGATCATTTCTGAGCCATTACATTGATATTCTCATCATTAACCATACTTAATTTTTCTGTAGTACCAAAAACATAAATCTATAGTTTCCTTAGTTTATTAGAATAAAACACATTACATGATTTCCTTAGTTTTGAAGATATATATTTTTGTTTTGTGTGAAATATAATTAAAATATCACAGATATACTACTAAATAAAATCAACTTTTAATGATGGAATGACAACTTACAATTTAATAACTATAATGCAATCATTATGGTTATAAATTAAAAAAGTTAAACACACAAATTACAAGTGGTTTTAATGCTGTATTAGATTGAAACTAGTGGATAGCGCAGAGTATGTACAGGAATTGTACTCAAAAATAATCAATGATATTGATAATTTCTCCAAATTCTCTAAAATGTCTCTTGACCTACAGTTTGAGAACAACCATCTTAAGAGAAGCATGCACACACAATGACATTATCACTCTACTGGTCCTTCATAAGATGACATTAAATATGGTAATGTGAGATCCATGCTTTTACATATTTGTCGGAAATTTGTAAACAAATTCGACAGCAAAACAATCCCAAGAAGAATTAGAGCAGAGGTTACAATTAGTCATAACAATCCAATGGGAAAATTGACTCATAAGTGTCAACTTGGCACCGTAACCAACAACATTGGATGGACACATGACGCTTTTTCTCATGACAAGGGGGTAAAAGAGAAAGTCACCGGAAGCTCGAGGGAGCGATTAATCAGGACATAAATCGGTAGTTGTGTGCATTTTCATCTCCTGGACCTCCATAACCCAGACTGGACCCAAGAAGAGGAGAAGACACTGGTTGGAAACCCATCCATGACAATGACCCATCCATATGAATGAAGTTCTCCACATCAACTCTCCAATATTCTTAGAGGTATTTAAAAGGGGGCTGAAACTTGTAAACTCTCTCTCTGTGTAAAGTGCATTAGAATAGGGAAATTAGGTCAAGCACGCATTTTGTTAAGAATTTATTGTTTGCATTCGTAACCACATTTATTCACTTCAGTTTGTAACTGCATTTATCCGTTTATAGGTCTGTATCTTCTAGATTTAGTTTATAATAAATTTTATATTTTGTTATGTTAAACCCTGATCTTTTGTTTGTCCACGGACCTTTGCCAACTTACCAACGCACTCCCCACTCGATTTGCCCTCCTAGCCATCCAATGACCTTGAGATCGGGTTTTACCAGCCCGTGGTCAGAAGGGATTAACCTGACCCCCTGCTCATCTCACAGTAAGGAGACTGTGTTTATATTGCTGTAAGTGGATGCCATTTTCAACATCTACTCTAATAATTGAAATATGATCAAAACTTGTTTTCATTGTTAAAATGCACATTATTTGTAAATGATTTGTTTTATGCATTATTCTTTTTAAATTTACAAAGAAAGAGTTTTTTGATATGTTTGATGTTGATCAACACTGATTATCAAATGGCATGTTTTATATAGTATGATCTTTTTTACAGATTATCATGAGTTATAACAGTTGACCAAAATAAACGAAAAATATTCTAGATTAAACTTGTTGAATAATGAATGACTTAAACATCAACTTCCAAAAAATATGCATAGACTTAAGGAATGATTTGATATGTAATATACTGGTACAGATGTACAGTGATTAATTACTAATATAAGCTCTATAGTTAAGTATTCCGAATATGATAAACTACTAGTATCAATAGCTGTCCTGGTTTCATAATTAAACCACTAGTAAACTACATGTTTAGTTTCAACTACTCTAAGAATGCATTTTAATTCACCTATAATGTTGCCTTGAAGTAATCCATTGTATTAAGCAGAGTAAAACCAACAAGTTTGGTCTAATGTTTTTTTACTTATTTTTGAGCAGATGTAGCATTTGAAATTTTTATATTGCCATTTGATAAAAGTTGAATTCAAAACAAAAATAAATAATTGGGTTTCACTACATTTTGCCCCTCAGGTGTAAGAAAATACATGGCTTGTGTGTGTGTGTGTGTGTATATATATATATATATATATATATATATTTTTTGTACTTGCATTGAGTTATTTACTCTAATTTTTAAATTAAAATGTTTACCAAGTTCCTGTCAATGATGTTAATTTGAATATGTTACACAACTACCAACATGTAAAGAATGCATTTTTTAGAATACTACACTATCCTTCCCAATAGTGTTGCAGTGGAACATCTGTTTTTCCTCATTGGGACAAATTTTAACAGTTAGATAATGTAGAATTCAGATAAAACATTTGAAAAACTTTTCATCCTTAACACATTTCTTTTGTAACTGATGTCTGAAGAATAAATGAAAACAGAATTGTAACTTTAATCGAGTCTAATTTTGTTCTATTTCTGAGTAATATAAATATAGATTAAATAGTAGTTGAAAATATTAGTTAATATATTGTCAGATAACAATCTTGACTTATAGTTCAAAAGAAAAAAAAACACAATATAAATTGTTTCAACTATGATATAAGGTCAAGTTATTATCTTAAATTTTTAAAGTAATCAATAAGATTTTTGGTTATGAACAATTCTTCAGCTATTTATAATAATTGTATTTTTCAGAAACACATCAACAAATGCTACTTACATTCAAGGATATCCAGTTAATATGAGTTATGACAGTAATCAAATTGCTCTGATGCAACAAGCTTATACTCAATACATGATGCAATATTTTCAATAGTAAGTAAAATATTTATTACAAAAACAATTTAATTGAAAATTTCTGAATGATTTACATGCTTAATTTTTAATTATTGAAAAATTGTATAAACAATTTAAATTTTCAATGAATGATTTTCTTTAGGCCATTACTAATTTAACTGTTTTAATTCTTTTTTACATTTAAACCTGTTTAAACCAGACAAAATTTATTATTTGCTTGTTTTGCTATTAGATCATTACAAATCAGAAATTTTGAAATTAAGTTTTCTAATTCTGTATTCTCAGTATAGATTTCCATTTGAAATAATTATGTACTGATTAACACAAATTTATTGAGAAAGGTTGATAATTAGCATTAAATTAAATCTATAATGAACCCAAATAACTTAAAACTGTTTTACAAAAGATGGAGCACTAAAAGTTTTATAAGTGATCTAGAATGTAAATGAGCATGAAAACTTTAAAAGGAACAAGGACATGAATAAAGCAATTTACAAAAAAAAATGAAATTAAAAAGTTAAATAAATGTTGATTGTGAAAAATTTAAATGTAATGTGTATGCATGTGATGTAAAATAACTATTGAACTGTGATGTACTGTACAGTACATATTATGAACAAAATTCAAATTTAATTTATATCTTTACCTTTTAATTTAAAAAAATTAATAAATGCCAAATTTATTTCTTTGGAAATTTTAATTTGACACAGTCAAAATGTGTTCAAATTTTGAATTTTTAAAATTAAGTGTTGCACCAGATTTTTCATATACTTACTATTGTTTCATTATATAATATTTTTTACACATCATTTGGATAATGCCATAAAATTTTTATATTTTTTCAGCATGTACTCTAATACATTCAATGCAGATAATTCCAGTCATGTAGAATCATCATCATCATTGTCATCATCACAATCGCAATCATTTGAAGCCAACACATCTGATGAACAGCCTGAAGAAAATATAGGTGATGATGCTCCAAATAGAGTGAATGAAGCAAATGAAGATCCCCTTGCAAACAGAGATATAATAGATGTAACTTACATCCTTATTCGTGCAGCCATTCTTCTATCAGTTTTGTATTTTTACTCATCATTTAGAAGATGTCTTTTTGTCATTGGTATAAGTTTCTTCATATACATGTAAGTCTTTTTTTTCAATAACTAATGTAAAAAAAATAGTAGTAACTTAATCATCTATAATTTTATTGTAGTTTTAAGAGATGGGTGAATATCACTTCTTGATTTTGAATATTAACTAGATCTTATATATTTCAGTACCTCTAATACTTAGTGAACATCATTATAATTTTAATAGTAATTAATTAACAGGAACTTTTTTTGTCTTCAGTATATGCCATTGTAAAAAAATGTAAATTGGTTTAAAAAGAGGCATAGCCTCAAAAGAAAAGGTCATCTCTAAGTGAAAATTTGTGTTTTTTTTTTTATTTTGTCAGTCTTCTGGCAACAATATCATAAAATAAAAAAACACAGTTCATTTTAAAATGGCTGATGTTACATGTTTAAAATTATAATGAAGAACACAACTTTTTTTTTGTCATCAATGGTGACTGAAATTATGGATAGTGAAGACAAAAAAAATTGTGTGTGTTTGTTAAAATGGCCAACAGTAATTTTCATATGATTTTAATAATTAATTAAGTAAATTATATAAATTAAGGTAAGGTAATATATTTTTTAATATGAACAATTTTATTTCTGTAACTATTAACTAAAACTAAAAAAGTTTAAAGTTTATTTACGTTTTGTAATTGTTTTTATTTCTTAGAATTATTCTGAACTTGTTTTACAGTATCTTTTTATTAGTACTATTATATTAATTGTAATAGATTAATCAATGATTGTTCTTGTTTTCATCTACTGCTAATTTTTATTTATGAAAAGCTGCATTTGAACACATTCACAAGCTAATCTGCTTCATTTCTTGTGGCAAATTACAGGGGATGAAGCAGGTTGCCAGGTTGGGGTATCCAAAAATAGGAACAGTATTAATTGGGAATTTTATATTATTGAAGGAAAACAGGAAAATACAATTTTTTATTTACTGATAATTTAAATTAATTTTTGATGATAACTTTTAACTTTTTAATTACATCCTATGTATTATAGCTTGCCTAAATGGAATCAATTTCAATTAAGCTAGTTAAAATAGCATCATGATAGTTATATGTATAATAGCTACAGTTTAAATATTTCTTACTTTTTTTATCAATTTGATTCTGTCTTTAAGCTTTCATAGTTCTTAATTCTGCTAATTTATTACATATTGTAATAATACTGTTTTGGTTAAAAATTTTTCTGTTACAATGTTTAGATAGGATTAGATATATACTTCTCCATAATAATTATTATAAGTAAATATTAAGGATTAAATATTTGACTGTTTATAACTCAGACTTCATATATAATTATAATATTTCCAATGTTAAAGCAGATGAAATTTATCAATTAGTGAAGATACTGAAAGAATAGAAAATTCTTAATATTTTTAATGCATGCAAACATATCTAAATAACTACAGTACTTGGTTTAAATCAGAAATAAAATTACATGCGTCTTTGCTGAAATGAAGAAAAGAGTTCTCTTATAAAATTTCAATAAAAATGAAAGTATTGATAATGACGTTTTCAAAATGGAAATCCTGCACTACCTAACAGCATGCAAGGCAACTCATAAAACTTTCCTCAACCATCCTAAGCTGGTCAGCTGTTATTTGTATGGAAGCATCAATTATGCATTGTTGTAAATCTGACAAAAAAATCTAATGGTATCAAATTACGAGAACAGGGAGACCACGGATATGGACCTCCTCAACCAATTCACATTCCTGGAAAAGTAGCATGTAACCATTCTAACTGGAAGACTCCTAATGGGTGGGGGTTCCATTGTGTTGTTAGAAAATGGTGATATTAAGAGCTACATCTGTTAGTAGAGCACATTGGACCGCTAGTAAGAGATCCAAGTACTTTTGGAGTTAAGAATGCTGTCAATAAAAAAATGACCCAAGAATTCGTTGGTCAAGGAATCCAGCTCAAATGTTAATACTCTGCTGATGTTGAGTGTACTTCACTCACAAGCAATACAATTTTGGGTGCTTGTTGGTGGAGTTTGCCTCATTACAAATGTAAAAGAATGCTTCATTTATAAAGCAAATTTGTCTGGGAACAGTAGGATCTGTGTTGTCAAGATCCATAAATATTTCTCCAAAATTTATCCTTGCATTGTAGTCTTCATGAAGAAGCTCTTGATGATATTGGAATTTGTACAGATGATAAAATAACTTCTTGAGAATCATAGGAATTGGATCAACCTCTGTACCTGTCTCCAGACCTCAAGGTGAATGGAAGTAGCTGGATTTACTGTGAATGTGGTTATGATATCCTTAGCTGTGTCATCTATCTCACAATTCTTGATCCTCCTAGATCTTAGCACATCATCCAAGTCATTGTTGCAGCAAAATTCAGTTAATATACTACAATCTCAAGAATAGTAAGGATAGGGATGCAGTGCATAGTATTGTGCCACAATATCCCTTATAATAATGCATCCTGGAAGGTAAAGTTATGTGAAGGTTGAGATGTAACATCTTGCTTCTTTTTAACAAATAAAAAAAAACTATCATCAGTCTGTTGGGTAAATTTAAAGGTTAGAAAGTCCAGGAAAACAAAAATTTTCAGATTATGCTCAGGTTACAATTTTTGAAGGACCAATACCAAAGACTTCAATGTTTGAAAATGGAACACACAGAAGAACTGACATGAAAATTTGAATTTAAAACCAAAGATTGACTAATAGGATGCACCCTAGCATGGATGTAAAGTGGTTTTATAATGACTTATCAAACGTCTGTTGGATTGTATTTTTCTCCTGGTCAATGTCAAGCATACTGAGCCCCATTGCTCAAAAGCAACATCATCATCTATATAAATGAAAGTGTGCAATCAAGAGTACAGTAGATATGATCTGACTACATAGAGGTATGTACCACATGGATCCAATATAACCTTGACCCAGTCAGCAATGCTCCAGTTTTCAGCCTTTTTTGTCCACATGCTTTACAAATGTAAAATCCAAATGACAGGAGGATATTTTCTTATCATTGTTTCTGTATGAATCATCTTATAGTCATGAAACACTCAGCACATTTTTTTAGGTTTTCATAGAATCTTGTAAAACCATTCTTGCTATACTTTGGTTGTGATTTTGCTTTTGCCCACTCTTCAGCTTATTTTTGAAGGATCTAGTCTCCTGATACAGTTTTAATGTTGTTTTCATTACAGAATGAGACATCCCTTGTGAATGCAAAAGCATAATTGTTCATATATCCCTTAATATTACAAGACTCTAAAATTAAAAATGGGATGGCTGGATAGCTAAGTGGTCAAGGTGACAATCTTCCACTCTGGGGACCTGGGATTGAATCCAGACAGATCAAAAACTTCCTGGGAAGTTTTTGGGGATGGTCCAACCATATATTTCAGTCCTGTCCCTCACACCCAGTCACCCCATTGTGGGCCTGGCTGAACCTATAATGGGCTTGCTTAAAGGGGCCTTATTAGTGTCCTCAGGACAGAGTTAAAAATGGATAAGCATAAGTTATTAAAAAAACAAAAAAAATTATTTATGCTCAGAAACAAATTGGAATGAGCATGTGTGTCAATCTTCCACTTCATTAGATTATGTTAATGAAGTGTAACGAATTTATTATTACTGTCCATTTGTCCTAACTTTTAATAATAAACATCCCTTATAAAACATTAATTCTTGTTAGATTTAGATACAGCCTTGCCAGATGTATATTTTCACATCTATCTCCAATTCATCCTAAGAAAACAAATAGATGCCTATTATAACAGCATAGTAGTATTTTTCAACATTAAAACAGTTTTCAAAAATTTTTAATGAAAAAAATATTTATGGAATACTTTATCTTTAGAATTATTTCACATTAGACAATCAAAATGATTGCATGGGGATTTTGCATTAGACAATCATTTTGATTGTCTAATGTGAAATCCCTGTGCAATCTATGAAATATAAGCTGGTAAACCTGGCATTGTCTGGGCAAAAAACAAAAACAAACATTAAGATTATCATCTTATTTCATACTACTAACTCTTCTATTATATTTGATTTATATAACTACAAACATTATCTTATGTAAGAGATTGTTCACTTAGTGTGATAAGTACAAAGGTTATCTTATAATTGATTTATATAAACCCTTACATATTATATATGGTTTTCATTTTAATGTTTGTTATATTTAAGAGTTTGGTTATTTCATCCGATCGTCATGATTATTATAATACTCAGATGGGACAATTTCATTGGTCAAGTAGGAATCATATCTTACATGATAAATTTTTTAAGATAGCAATTTAAAATTTTTTTCCCTAATGCTAACATTAGGGAAAAAAATTTTAAACAAACTAACAAATTTGATATTTGCTGTGAACGGAATAATCTGCCAACAAATTAAATTTCACAAAAAAATAGACTAAATATTTAAACTCTGCACCCTCAAACTACTTGAAACATTTTGCACTTGCCAGTAATCTTGTATTATGCAATTTTCTTATTCAAATGCCATCATACTGATGATTTGATAGAAAGTAGATACTGCTGCAGAAAAGGGTTGACCATCCTCCTCTCCTCTGAGAGATGGTCAACAATTACTACTAAATACTGATCTACTATTAATATTTGAATATACCATATTTACTTGCATATAAAATGAGGTTTTTATTCATTTTTCACTGCTTCAAAAACCTAGGTCATTCTATGTGTATGAGCAAAGGATTCTTTTCATTTTCATAATAATTTTTGTAAACTGTGTATTTGCATTTTTTATCGGATTCTCACCTTTTGGTGTTTAAAAACAAAAGTATTTTATCTGGGTCATTTACTCCTGACAATACACAAGAATGATTCAAAGATGAATAACAATAGGAAAAGCAAAGCTTTTGAATTGAATTCCAAAATTACACAGGAGTCTGATATAAGTTTTAATTCCCATATGAAAACAGATTATTCAGAAATCTGAATTCGGAGAAACTCATAACTTCAATCAACGGAGAGTGAATTCGACTGTTAAGAATTGTCAAAAAAGGTTCCAGATTGTCCAATTTTACATGAACAAATTATGTTGTTGATTTTACAACACTTTACTAGCATTTTAAACTTCAAAGGAAATTTTTCCAGGACAATGTGTACATTTACGTGCATTTGATATTTTATTTGTGATTAAATGAAATAAAATTAAAATTGTATTAATAAATCTAATTTTCTTTATTTTGATCTTTAAAGTCACACCTTGTCCTATATGCAAGATTGTCTTATATGTGAGTAAATACGATATTTCATATGACTTGTTTAAATAATAAAAAATTTTGTAAAAATGCAAGAATAATTGCTTTTGTGATCCTGTAAAAAATGATGAAACCAAGTTGTAAAAGTAAAGCTCAGCAAAAACATGTAAGTAAACTTTTGAAAATTGTGTGGCATAAGCCTACTGGAAGCAGATTTGACAGTAAGATTCAACATGTAGTCTGTGTAATATACACTTTATTTACAACTACAGGAAATTTTGAATGAAGCAATGTTGCCAAGATAATAAATAGGAAAAATAAACATTGGCACGAAAATAGACTTATCGCTCTACTTTGTGCCTTAAAATTGTTGCACATACTATACATTAATTTAGCTGAACATTAGAGCATCTTAAACAGTATCAGTGAAAGAAATTTGGGGCAATAAGATGAAATCAGAAGAGGTGGCAGAATGCCCAGGTTTCCTGGTAGTTAAGCATGTCCTCATAAATATCACGTTTAGAATTTGTTTGGTTTATTTGGTTACAGCAATGCAACAAGTGAGCAATTTGCCAAGGAGGATGCATCCAGGGAAGACTTGTGTAAAGCTTGTCCCAATTTAAGTGTTAATAATGCAAAGTAAACCCAGAAAACACCATGTGGCCAGTCCATTGGCCATGTGCAAACCCATGATAGACTAACAGAGTTTGGTGATTTTATCCACTCTGTTAACGGAGGATACTTATTGGGCTGCAATTTGAAAACATTGTAAACCTATAAATTCACTGTTGTCCATCTTAATCTTGAGAACAGAGTTAGATGAATGAAAATCAAGACCAAACATAGAAATCTTAAGAGAAAGAGGACCAGATTAACTTCTGATTTGTACTGCATGTCACATTACTTTAATTCAAAACTTTTCCTGTGAACAGAGTTAGATACATAACCGGCATAACACTATTGCTAACAGGAAAAGTACAATGTAGGGGGCAAAACACTACTACACTCCAAGCAGGCAAGTGCTATGTGCTACCTGTTGCAGTAATGGCATAATGGTGCATCTATATCATTGTTGCAGTAATTCAGTGAATATAATATATCCTTTTTTTGTAAGAGTTACATTTAGTTAATNAAAAGTACAATGTAGGGGGCAAAACACTACTACACTCCAAGCAGGCAAGTGCTATGTGCTACCTGTTGCAGTAATGGCATAATGGTGCATCTATATCATTGTTGCAGTAATTCAGTGAATATAATATATCCTTTTTTTGTAAGAGTTACATTTAGTTAATTTTATTAAATTTTTTCCAATAGATGGTACTACATGTAAAGCCAGCAATAAAATGTAGACAGAAATTAATTGTTATATAGAAATCCAATTGATAATTTGGGGTGGGATATATGACATGATCTAAGTTAGAAGAATTTGAACATAAGTGCCAAGTTTTTTAGCAATTGGTTGAACAGCCTATGCATCCATAACAAACATCCTCACTTATATATATATAACAAATTATATATATCTTATTATGAAATTACATATAGTGGAACTGTCCAGGTTTGATTGTCAGTTCATCTGTGACAGCCAGCTTCATGTTATGCTCAATATGAGTACCGTATTAAATTTTGCAAAGTAGTGAAGGGAAATCTAATTCCATCTAGGCACATTAGATGCTTATACAAAATCAAGTAAAAACATGCATCCTTATTTATCACAAAGTTATGTTGAAAATTGCAAGTTCGTGTTTTGCTTGCACTATAGATTTTCAAGAGCTACACTGAAAACATTCCATAATTCTCTCTAAATCAACTTCATTAGTCAAAAGGTCTTCCAGAAAATTTACCCTTACAAAGACAACCTGTTTGCTGGAATTGATCTTTCCACCTTCAAATAGTTTTTTGTTGGAGGTTATTTTTGAAATTGTGTATAAAATTGACACTGCACACTCAACACTGACCTACTGACCTACTCACATGAAATTATAAGACAAAATGCTTTATCCCTGTCACTGGGCACTGGGAACCTTTTTCACAATTAGTATTTCATAATTCTACAGGTAGGTGGCAGGCAGATTAAGCTGATACATTTGTTCAAACTTGAGAATGTGTTCTAATATGGTGAAATTCAGAAATAATCACTGGTAATTTTGTATTCCTGATGGAATGTATTGTCATACAAATTACTTTGAAACATCCTGCATTTCAACTTAATATATAAACATCAACTCACAGCCCGAGTAGATAATAACACCAAATGATCGCCTAATTATCGGGCTATAATATGGCTATTTTAAATGATTGGAACTAAGTAATTTGACATTAGAGGTAGGCGTTAGGCGCCATCTCTTAATTAAATTAATAATTAAATAAATAAATTTAGAACATTCTGGAATAAAAGAACTGGCCCGGGACGGGGCTTGAACCTGCAACCTCCACTTGCCGTGTGGTGCGCTTGCCAGTTACGCCACCCGGACCCCGAGCGAGTCTTCGCTTCCAGAAGTATATTAGATTTAACGCCATCTCTTAATTTAATTAAGAGATGGCGCCTAACGCCTACCTCTAATGTCAAATTACTTAGTTCCAATCATTTAAAATAGCCATATTATAGCCCGATAATTAGGCGATCGTTTGGTGTTGTTATTATCTACTCGGGCTGTGAGTTGATGTTTATATATATATATATACCTCGCCGGGTGTTACGTTAGCCGGCTGAGTACCGTTAGGGTCGTGGGCGAAGGAGTCGTCCCCAGTCGGTGATGTATTTAACCAAGTAAGGTTATATCTAAATCTAATATACTTCTGGAAGCGAAGACTCGCTCGGGGTCCGGGTGGCGTAACTGGCAAGCGCACCGCACGGCAAGCGGAGGTTGCGGGTTCAAGCCCCGTCCCGGGCCAGTTCTTTTATTCCAGAATGTTCTAAATTTATTTATTTAATTATTAATTTAATTAAGAGATGGCGCCTAACGCCTACCTCTAATGTCAAATTACTTAGTTCCAATCATTTAAAATAGCCATATTATAGCCCGATAATTAGGCGATCGTTTGGTGTTGTTATTTCAACTTAATTTTTCAAGGTTTGAAATTTTGCCTTTCAATAGATTTCTCTCATAAGACTATCCATCTGACAGATTTGTTTGTTTCTTTAATTTTTTTTTAGACTTGTAATGGATAAATTTCAACTTTTTAATAATTCAAAATTCTAAATATACAGTAAAATCAATGTATTCTCATGTCCTATGTTAAGTATATATCCCTAATTTGAAATATGTATAAAATTTAAAATGGTTAAAATTTTTGTAATTTTATGAAACATTATGTTTAATTATCCTTTATATTGCTAATGTGTTAGCTTTTTTTTTTACAGTTACAGAGGAGGCTTCTTTACGTTTAGACGAGGAAGAAATCGAAATGATAGAAGACAACAAATTCAGCCTAGACGAAATACAATTCGTAATAGACGAAACAGAGCAAGAACAACAAATGAGGTAAAAATATTAATAAAAAGTAAAAAATATGCACTTGTTATAAATATAATTATTATACATTTATTAATTATAGGCAAATTATAATCAACAAGGTGCCCAAAATACACAAGTGACTACTGTCAAGACTTTTATAGCATCATTTTTCACTTCTTTAATTCCAGAACAACTCAATGCAGTGAATATTAATTAAAAATATTTTTAATATATATCTATTTATCTGGTTTGTAAGAAAAGTTTAATATCTTAAACAAATATTTATTGAAAATCTTGAAATTGTATATGCTTATGTATGTACATATATTTTTATGTATATAATGGTTAATAAAAAAATGTTCCAGAATGTTTGATAAAGTCTCTCTTTGAACTATCAAGTTAAATTTACCTTCAAATCATTATTTCAAAGAATCAAGATTTTTTTATTAATCATCATCAATGTATTCATATATTAAACAAAGTTTCTATTATCTAAATAGGAAAAATTTTTCTAATCTATTCCTATCATTTAAATAAAATGAACAGAACATAAAACATATATATTTAATAGAATACAAAAAATATTTTTTGAAACCAAGCAAAAAGTAAAAAAAGATCTTTGTTATAGTTTGAGGAATCATCTTTTAATGCATAAATGAAACAAGGACAGCTGAGTTTTTTTGAGACAACCAAACTCTTATAAGAAGCCTGAAAATATGGCCCTACTTCAGCTTTGAGAACATTTTGAAAACCTTAAGTATGGCCATATTTGAGAAACGTTTCCAGGCTTATTATGAGTTTGGTTGTCTTTTTATTGCATTTGTTTATGGTATCAAGTTTCAAGGAAGTTACTTTTCTAAACGATGGATATCTATTACATGGTTTTCAATAGCGTTAATCAATCATTGTTTCTATGGTCTCTCAAAGGGGATGGAATTATAAAAAGCATTAAGATTAGCAAAAGAGTAGCTGAAGGAAATATGACCAAAGCAGACAAAACCTTAACTTTAATGACAATCTTTTATTATTAGATAAAAGAATTCACATTGTTGCATTATTAGCTTAAGTATATTAGTAGAAGAGATTGTTCTAGAAGCTGTTTACAGTCTTTCAAACTTACCATGTAAAGGCAGATTATATT